CATATTTTCAAGATATTCAATTCCAGAAAAATTAATAATGGGACATTAGAAATTGACATTAGTGTACAATGTACCACAATGACTACAAAAATGACTGAAAAAAAGCGTATATCCAAGAACCTAAATCAATTTTTGCGGTATATGTGAAGAATTGAGTGACTGATTTGTCGACTGATTGACTGACTGATTGACCGACTGATTGGGTGACTGATTGACTGCCTGATTGACCGACTGTTTGGGTGACTGATTGACCGGCTGATTGGATGACTAATTGACCGACTGATTGGGTGACTGATTGACTGACTGACCGACTGATTGACTCTAATTGGTATTAGAACCACTTCCTAGGGGGCGAGTCGGTAAGAGTTGGTAAGAGGCGAGTACGGTCAGGGGGCAAGTTTACGAGGGGGCGAGTTGGAAAGGGGCAAGTCGGTAAGGGGCGAGTTGACCTGACACCAAACTAGTTTACCAGCATCATCAGGGGAGTTCATGGACCCTATCTGGTTAACCTTAGACTGTTCACATTTGCTATTGATATATAGGCTGTGTCTGAATACCTGCAGCTTGAAGTAGACCAACTGCACCTGCTAATCACGTGACCTATAGTGGTTATCAACCCCACAACAAAATTACTGTACCAGGCACATCAGCAGTCCAAGTATGGTGCCTACCGTCGGCTTTACTTTTGGTAAATGATACTTACATACAAACACTTTGCTTTGGGTAGACGCCATGTTTGTTGATATTTAATACCCACTATAGGTCACGTGACTTAGCAGGCACAATCAGTCTATTACACATGGGTCTATGGATGTGGCTGCAGCCACGCCCTATAAGTAAGTACTACAGTTGTAACTAATTTCAAGTCGTAGCCAAGTGCTGATATTCAGACATGGCTTTTTACAACGAATTTTCTCAGTACACAATTACAGTAGACACCAATAAGTGCATATACCGGTATATGTAAGTTAAAATGTTTACAAACTATCCATGCTTTCACAGTGTGCTGCTACAGTAGTACGGATACAGTGTAGTCTACATGTACATGTACACGTACACTGTACCAGTGCATCCACCATTCTCCCTGCAAAGGGAATGTCCCAAAAAAAGATCCAATTTTTTGCAAAAAATGAAAATAATGTTGTGATCAACAAGCATTACATGTAGTTACGTAATACACACATACCGGTACATGGACATCACACGGACAGGTACATGCATGGCACTAGTGCAAATAAGAGTTATTCTAAAAATGTGAAAAAAGGGGAAACAAGTATTAATTAGACTGTGAAAAACCAACAAAATCTGGCACTTGCAAGTGTTATCAAGACTGCTGTCTGTGCACAATCAGCTTAAGTTCAAACCATAATGACGAACATTGTACAGCACAGTATGCTGTAAAATACCGGAACTGTTGAAGTTCCACTACAAATCAAATTGTGCATAAATTGAATCCATTAGAGAAACTGCTGGTGAACAGTGAGTCATAGCATAGATGGTTGGCAAGGACACCACAATCTGGACAACTCCCTTCATCAAATGCAGATAAAATACACCCACAGGGACAGATGCACGATCTGAGTGAATGGTACATGTTGGGGAAATGCAAAGCTAAGAAATCTGAGGTTAAAAAAGGGGGAACATTTCACCCCAAAAGACCTGCTTCCTTTTTTTACTTGCTACGGGCGACAAGCCCCACATGCTGGGGATAAAATGTGTTGCCATGGTAACAGGAACACTCACTGGGAATTGTTGGCAAGCTTGAATGCTGCAGTCTTTGTTCGACAGATACGGTGTGTATGGCAATGGTCTGGGGGCTTCAATGTGTATATTTTTCATTCTTCTTAAGGAGTCTGTCTTTTGTATTTACTGCACACATTATCTGCTTTTAAAGAATACAGTTTTGTCCGTTTGAATGACCTTATTACATATACACCGTGGAACTATTACATTGCAAGTGCACTGCAAGTGAAAATGTTGTAATTTTCATGTTCTCTTATTGTACATGTACCAGCACATACTAAAAACAACTTACAATAAATTTCTTGCTTACAGAAGTTTATTAAATTTGAAATTCAAACACACAAAACTGTGCCATTTTTTCCTCAAATTCAAAACAAATAAAATTCTGGTGTGTCCAGATGAAATATAGCTGTTTGAGTATTCAACATCAGGCGTCTTATTAAAAATATGGCTTCGTAATGTTGAATAAAACAACACCGACAAGAATCTTTTAAATAAATTGAGTTCCCCCAGGCTAAAACTAAACATCAGCATTCCTGTTCTAATTTGTTGAGTGAGAGACTGTTGGTCCATCCCACAGGATCACAAGCCCCTCTGCCCGTGCAAAAATACATCGCATGCACGGCATTCCGCTCCACAGCACTTAAAACTCAGGCATTTCTGCACAGCCATCCATCAGATGTTTCAACATTAATACTGTGGCAACATGACCTTTGTTCTAAGTTGTTACCCTGCTCACATTGTTTATAAATACAAACAATTTCTTTTCATGCATTGCATGGACAGGCTGTGACATAATTGCAGGGGTTATCCATGTTTGGGAGGGGCGGGAGTAGGGTAGGGTTCAACTTCAAGCATATACACCTACCTCCATCCTTACACAGCTATACTTGTGGGGTATTTCCTTTGTCTCGTGTACAAAACTCCCACACAACACGTAAAAAATTTCACATCACTCCAATTCAAACCAAATTCACTTTCCTGGGTTGAAATTTTGACCGTATGTCCCTTATATAAAACACTTCAATTTGCGACAGATTTATACCCATCAAAAATTTCCCCTTATTGAGTTATTTCCAAATATCAGTTTCGTGAAATTCTTGTATTTTGGTACCCCACAAGGTAAAAACTGGCCTTGTGGGGTACTTCCATTGTTCCAGTACCCTACAAGGCCCCATGTATAAGCACAGGTACGTATGTGATGTTATTCAAATTACTCTGCGTAGAAACCATTCTGCTTTGAAGGTCAAAAAGTATCAAACTTTAACTGTCATATTTAGAACTTGTTCTGTCCGATGTTACTATAGCCTAAACAACAAAACTACATGTAACTTTTTTGTTCATCATCTTATTAAGCTGCAAAGCATGGTCTTTCCAGATTGTAACATCCGGTTACTAAGTACCATTCCCCTAGCATAGTAACAGTCACCATGCGTTCTTCACTTTTCACACACAAGTCTCCCTTTAGTGATGTTGTGAATGGAATGATCAGCCCTTGTACGAACAACATTCAAAATTCTGACAAAAATCAGATTTAATCTACATGACTCAGGATCTTCCTATTTTTAACTTGAAGAAACTGTACAATGGTTTCGGTACAGGAGACACCACAAACTGCCTGTATTTCAAAGTTTCCAGCCCTCATCATTGCCTGTTTGTAAGTACATGTGTGTACAAATGCACTGCATTAAGGCAATGCCATTCCTTGATCCAACAATATCCTTCCACGCCTGCAGGTGGATTTTAAAGAATCTGGGGATTTTAGGTTTGAAACAATTGGAGAACAATGGAGACTGCCTACACATTGTACCAGTAGAATTTACAAAGTCCTATAGATGCTTTTTCGTCCATTTCCGGTGGCACACAAAAAACCTTTCAGGGAGCAGTTCCTTGAAATTTCAGTTGACGCGGCATTCACCACGAAGAGCATACATGTACATTGTACAAAGGTTATTAGCTCCATGCATTCACTAATCCCTGTTGCTGGATTTTCATTGAGTACCAAGGTCAGCGCACTCATTGTCAGCTTTTAGCTGACTGAAATCCTTTCAGGAATTCAAAAAGCCTCTCCCAACGATTTCATTTTTTGGGGGGGGAGGGGGAAGAGGAAGTGTAATCCTGGAGCTCTCATTTTTGGGGGAAGAATTCCACATAAGGATGCCGCTTGACACCCTCTGCAAAAACCCTATGAGACTGGTATGAAATATTCTATGTTTTTTGTACGTGTATCTCAGTATTTTCACTGCTAAATTTGACAGTTTTATGTCAATTTATTTCTTTCAGATGGCTACTTCTAGGTCACTGCAGGAAGAAATTACCGCACTGATGTCCGGATTTCATTTTTAATGCCAGAATCAGAAAACCTGACTTTTAAATTTAGCAGTTTCCTTCAGATCTGATACTCTTCTGGGATGGCCAGGTAAATAATGGAATCTGATCTACTAAGCAATTTTAAATATGATTTTTCTAACAATTCATTTTTTTAGGGGGAGACTCTTTAGAAGTCTCTTTAGAGGCAGAAATTTTTTGACACTGACAATTTCACTTTTACATGTACAATCTGAACAGCTTTTCTTTTGAAAAGGATCTGATTGCAAAGGATACATTTTTAACTGTTAACAACTTGGCTTTTGCAAGTCAAAATCCCTTCCCCAATTGGTATGACAACAAAACATGCATTTTGAATCAGGTATCAAAATCATTTCTTTGCAGTGATTTCACCCAAGCCAGAAAGGAACTGAAAGACATATGTTATTCTTTTTTACATCTTCATTAAATACAAACAAAATAAATTCCACATTGGTTATGTAAACCCACATGTACTGACCATAAAAGGTAAATGGTCATTATCATTCTGTATTAAGGCAAACAGCTCCTTTATCTTTGGCAAGGATTGTTAGAGAGGGGGATGTCATTAAAAAGTCAGAAAAACAAAGACTCTACAAATCGCCTCCTTTAACATTTGGACATGGTTGGCGATACTCCAACCATGTCCAAATGTCACGAATCTTCCTGTAGATGTTCAAATGTGCACTGTGCAGGTGATGAAGAAACAAATTTTGTAAACTGGCCACTTAATCATGTTAATAGGCTACTGAAAATTGATGGAAATATTAAACATACCGGTCATGCCGGTACCATCAAAACTCAGATTACATTATGGGCAAATACAACACCAGCAGATTACCATAGGAATGGGTATACAGGAAGTACTTGAATTGAGCCACCAAGTCCTGAGCTGGACAAATTGTGCTTACCGGATGAAGCAATGCAGAAGCAACTGTATAAGAACCAAGCCGTGAGCACCCACGACTGTTGGTTGCAGCAGCTCCTTGAGTTGACACATCTCTGGCATAAAGAATTCTGAGAGAGACCTCGGTTGTTATCACTCGTGTCTGTCATATTTGTATAATAAAGGAAATATTCAAAAGTGTCTCTGACTACCGCAAATGTTTACCGTACACTATAAGTACAAGTCAGGCCGCGCCTCGGCTTACGGGTAACACCAGCACAGTAGACCAGTGACGAGTTTCTCACAACCACCGACCATGCTGACGCGATCACGACTGATTTCAAACGGAAACGATCTGAGAATCGGGCACGATTTCACCGTCTTCAATGTGTTTTCATCAGAGAAGCACTTCTGGCGAACATGTACAAGTTCAGCACATGTTAATGAGCTCCATCAGTTACGGGATTATTTCTCGAAACAAGTTACAACACTAGGCCTACCACTGACTACAGTTTCAATTTCAGTTGAGCATGTGAAATATCATCGGCTGCTGTTCCACACGCATCGAAGCGTGTCGACGACGTCGGTTCACCAACAGGACTTTCAGTTGTGAACTCGTCAAACGTAACTAATTCAATCCTTTTTTACGTTGAAACGAATCAATTCATTCTTTGCTTGGGAACAGCAAAATTTTATTCCTTGTAAATTTCCAGTGAATGTTTTTCTGTCAAGCCAACATGTGTACTGTTCCAGTTGTTCCGTCTGCAGTTCGTCAATTCCAGGCGATGCGCATAGTACATAGACAATGTACAAGTTTTAGTTCTACTCTTGTGGTTAAAATACAATTGTTCGCTGGTAACCATTGCCGTTTGAGCACAAAGCGGCGAGTCCGCGGTACAACAGGTGCCCGCTATATGAATATTCACAATATGTTTAAAAAAAAAACTACTACAGTAGCAGGACTTCCCCGACGCTGAGCTAATTATGAAAACAATGATTCATTAAAATCACCCTGAAACCAAAAGGGATAGTCATGAGTCGATGTCTAGTCTATGTACCCAAGCGTCTACTGATCAGAACTTTCACGATATCATCACTCTTACAAAAAAATTTTCTGGCGAGGGCGCTATTTCCACTCAGTGTAATTTATCACGTCAAAGATTAGATGTTCCAATTCACCAGTTTGCACAGAAAATGTGAGGCACACCCGTCGTCGCATAATGCTCCGGAGGATTTGCCAACCATTGCAATTTTAATCATTTACTTTTGCTGTCACTTTAAAAATACGGCAACTGTTTAATTCTTGTCACACTGTTGTATTTTGGTGTAAGCAGTGGAACTGGCATAGTAAAGCGTGTCAACGTTTATCTTTTCGCGGCACTAACATGGGACTTTTTTATTTGATCTGATAAAAGCTGCTGCACGATTTTCCCATTTCGTTTCTGATAAAATTTCATAATTTCTCAAAGACCTAAACGATTCGAATGCATGGCCGTAGTTTTTTTTTTCTTTACCCTTTTGTTTCTTTTTAAAAATATATAAGATGTCTTCCTGTACATCATCGATTTCGTACAGTACTGACAAGCTAGGAGTAGAGGGGCCCGAGTTAGCACCTTGCCATTATTTTGATACGAGACCATGGTCTGACATTTACAGACACACTTCAATGCTTCAATTTTACCATCCGTCATACAGACGTGTACCAATTTGAGCAGTTTCTTTCAAGAGTCTTGAAAGCAGAAAGGAATCCACTTAGTGTTTCATTTCTTGTCGGCCTCTTTCAAACGTGGAGTTCAAGGGATCAATTTCGATTCAAAGCGGCATGGCTTGTTTAAAAAGTTTTACCTCTGTATGTGAAACAACTGCTCCATAATCATATTGGAAGGAACATCTTTGCTCAACTTGAAATCGGAAAATGAATGGCATCCTTAATGTTCGAATGCCTGTGTAAGGAAGCACAAAATAACTGAACGAGCCTCTTGTAAAATTGTAAACGATTCTTTGATAAAAACGAAAGTTGGTAGTGCTATCACAAGTGTGTTGTTTCCAACTTCGTACTTATGACGTGTTTTTGTCAACTTTGTTTTTACGAGGTACTTTTTCCCCAAAGTTCGTTTGTTCAAGGCGTATAGTCTCCAGTTCGTTTTTATGAGATCTGCATCTGCTTTTAGAAACAGTCTTCTACGGAGGCATATTGCTGCCAACACGAAAATTTTTTTTATATCGTTTAAACAATTTATTATCTCGTTTAAACGACTTATTATCTCGTTTAAAGGACAAAGCTATCTCGTTTAAACGCGATATCGTTATCTCTTTTTTTCTAATTAAAGCAATGTCATTTAAACGACATAGCTGTCTCATTTGAACGAGATAATAAGTCATTTAAGCGAGATAATACATGCAAGTCGTTTAAACGAAATAAGTAAGGGTGAGAATTATTGGTTACAACTGCAAATACTAACTCTACTGGCGAAATTCAACAAACGCCAATTGGTTCAGGGATGTCAGCTCTTGACCCGTCTTCAAGAATTCCACCCACTCCAAATCAATGAAAACAATTCCCCATATCTGCACCTTCACCTGCGCTGGGCCGTACACAACGAACTGCCTCAACACATCGGCCTACTGCTATGGAAAGCAGCAGGGCCCGGTGAAGGTAATTTTATCAACAAAGCCGTGAAACCCCATCATCGAGTGTGACAGACGATGTGTCCCTACAAGTGAACCAGGGTATCCATTTTGGAGAAGGTAAGTTGGTTTGATTCGGTTTGAGGGAGAAAGCCAAAACCAAGGTGAAGACGTGCAGCAGTGAGTCGAGCCCTGGGAAACGGCCAAGCACCCTACCGGACCGATTCCATGGGAAGACCCCTTGGCAGAAACATAAGCAACACTTTGAAGACTGTAAGCTGGTGAACCGCTGGGCCGACAGAGAAAGCCAAAATTTTTCTTTGCAGCGAGCAAGCGTCGAAGGTACGGCAGTGAAACGTTCTGGGGAATCTTGCCTAAAGTAGGTGAAGTCACCTACTCTAGTCTGGGTTGATTGGTCTCCTAAAGAAGCAATTCGGACCGGAACTGGCTAAAAATTAGGAAGTGGAATTTCGCCACATGCGTCAGAGAGAAAGAGAGAGAGAAGGAGACGTTACAGGAATAATTGGGACAGTCTATTTGTGATTTAGCAGCACTTGAAAATATCCAGAAGTGAATAACATGGGACGTGATCGCCTGGCTGGGAATCATTTCTCAGACGCAATGTGGGAGCAAGCCATCCGCGAAAGAGTGTTCAGAGCCAGACCATTGTTGGTAGATGAAGGCGTTCATGCCGAATGAAGTACAGAGGGTTTCCTCAAAATTTAGGAACAGCAGTATGACAGGCGAAGGAAATACGCCCTTGGGGTAGAAGTGGTTCCAAAAATTCCATATAGGAAGTCAGGGGCGAGTTTCAGGAGAGTTGCAGTAAACTAAAGGAGTCATTCAAGAAGAGCGACAAAGAAGTTCGGGAATGGCTGGAGTGAATGACAAACACGCTTGACACCATGAAAGCAAAGCAACAACGAGACGTGACGCAAGGGATAAAAAGTACAGGCGCAAGGCTACTGATGTGTGCCACTGGTGCAAGAACTGAGGGCACATTGCACGCGAAACTGGACAACGACAGCTAGCTGGCTCAACAGCCCGAGAGACTATAGCTGAAGGAGCAGACAGGCCAACAGACCGGGTGGAGACAGCCTAAAGAGGCAAAACATATAAACAGAGATGAATTGAGACCAAACAGTGACCAAAGAGCTTGCGCAGGATTCTTTGTGTAGGCGTACATCGAGGGAGTCAGTGTGAAATTATTAGTGGATGGGGCGTGAGGGACTCTGTCACGTTGTGGGGTTTTACTTTCAAACAGCCATGGAAAAATGGCCAAAATTGTAGACTGAAGTAGCAGGCGTTCGCAAAGCTGACGGCAGCGGAACAGACACTCTCGATCTCGGCAGGACCTGAGTGGAAGTTTAGATTGGCAGCACGACATGCTCAGTTAGTGCTGTGTTTGGTAATACAGAAAACGTTGGAGGGATCCTGGGTATGGATTTTCTGATGTATAAACTGTCTCCTCAAACTTCCAGTCTCCTGAGCTTATTCTCAAGGATGAGGGAAAATGAAATGAGGGAGATCTGTGTTTGCGAGTAATCATGAGGGAAATCATGAGGGTTCTGTCAGGTCATGAGGAGTTGGTACTGGGGTCCGTGATGGGTGAGAACGTCTGCGCAAGTTTGGACTGATAGGGCCCTCGGATCGGGGTAAAGAGGATGACAAGGGCACGATCGTGGTACGTATTCTCGTTCAGTCGGAAGAGGAGCTGCTCCATGTGCATGTATTCAACCCTGGAAAGGGGAATGTGTCTTACAGCAAGGAAAAATGATGGGTGCCAGAAAGGGTTTCCTCTTGCATGGAAATGACGACATGAACAATAAAGAGTTGTCATCGCCTACCGAGTTCGAACGAGCAGTAGTCCCCGTACATCTGATGGATTTGTAAGACCGTAGCATCCAAGAGGTGGAGAGGAAATACCACAGTGAAACAGCTGACCTCTTGTGCAAACACCAAGAGCTTTGGGCGAGAATGGCGCGGACACCGGCAGTACAAACCTGTTTGGATATGAGCTAAATACAGGTGAGGGGCGTCGCAGACGATGTCCACCAAGGCAACAAAAGGAAATAGATTGCAAAGTCAAGGAAATGGTTAGGGAGGGTATAGAGCCATCACAGAGTCCCTGGGCATCGACGACATGAACGATTGTCAGTAGGGTATCTAGGCATTAGAAAAACTCTGACAAAGGTGAAGGCAGATTTTACTAGGTTGGAATAACAGTGGACGTTCGATCCATCCTCGGGAGATGTAGTGCCCAGGTAAGTAAAAGTCACCCCCAATAGATGAGAAGAGCTCCCTTGCAACAGAGAACAGTTGGCGCGCCTGTATAAGGAGAGTGTCACCTTAGACGCATTGGGTCCGTTGCCAGTTACTGAGGAAAGGAACAAGGATATACTTGTGTGGATGACGAACTGAGCAAGTGGATAGAGGCGTATCCAATACCCAATCACACTGCAAAAATAGTGGCAAATAAATTCGCCAAAGAGTTTGTCTGCCTTGGAAGGTGTGATCAAAGTTCTGCACTCTGACTGAAGGAATAATTTTGAACCTCAGGTCTTGACGACGCAGACAACAACGTATCTGCTCCGAGCGGGAACAAAACATGGCGTGGTTTTGAATGAAATTGACAACCCGTTTGGTACTTACCGAATAGACGGGCAAGTTTATTCGCTGTTTACGCGGAGCACGCTGAGCCTCTGGGCTACAAATTTAACTTGGAATATATGGTCTTACGTGTGCACGCCGAACACGTGCAAGAACTCGGTTGGAAAACTTCGTACCACTCTGTCTTTCTTTCGTTGGTGAGGGCGCACTTCAACCCAAGCGGATAACACAAAGAGTAATGGGATGGCTGAGCGCTTCAATCGTATCTTAGTCACCGTGGTTTTGTTGATAATAGAACCTCATCATCGACGGCGAGCTTGGGATGATAAGATTCGTTGGGCCATGTTAGCCTATCGTGCATCTATTCAAGAGTCCGGCTTGGACGTGAAGTTCGTCTGCTGATGGACTTGACTGTTAAACAGCAAACAAATGAACGAAGTACCGAGGACATTGACATGGATTACGCGAAACAACAGTTGAGACTTGTGCACAGGACACGCGATTACGTGAAAGAGAGTGCCAGAAGAAAGAAAACCCATTACGATCTGTCAGCGATAAATGGTATAACGTTTTGTGTGGCTCCACAACCTTGCCAAAAGAAAGAGCTTCTCGCCTAAAATAATAGCAATGGTGATGTAAGGGCCCATATCTAATTGGCCAACTCTCTGAAGTCATCATCCGGATACAATGGAAGAAGCGTGGAAAGATGAGAGCGGTGCATCGATTTCGCTCGAAACTACACTAATAAAGCTAACACGGGTGCCAATGATGGGTAGGGCCCGGGGAAAGCTGAAGCATACGGCGAAGACAGCAGGAAGGACGAAAAAAAAGAAAGCTTTTTCATTGCACGTGGAGAGGGACTCAGACCCTGGTCCTCCTGTATGTGGTGGTGGCAACCAACTGTCGAGAGGTCACCCAAGAGGGAGGGACAGCAATACATCTGTCCCCGATCTCGATGCTGTGTGATATGGAGGAAGACCCATCCATTCGTGACGCACCTACCCAGACAACAGGAGGAAAGCCACTACGCCAGTTGATGATATGAAGCAAGAGACGTTGTTAAGCTCAAGGGATGTTTCCAGACAGGGAGAGAAAGGGAATTTCCTGCAGGACCTTCATGATTGATATTTATCAGGGCTTGCGGTGAAGATCGCTGAAGAGGGAAAGACAACCGTATACACAACCGTGTGGGAGCATCGGAGGTCCAGCCACCATCGAGGACGCAGACCCTAGATGAGCAGACCACTAGATTTCGCGGGTTGATACAAGATCAGGACGACTGCATCACAGGAGTTGGGAAAGCTATAACGCACAGCAAGTTGTAGAAGAGCATGGTTGGAAACTTCTCAAAGATTACAGAGACTGTAAGCCGACGTGTCTGCCGATATGGAATGCTGCTGACCAACGACCATCCACGAACCCCGAATATCATGACCAGCAGCAGGTTGAAAATCATTTTGACTGCTGAGTCTGAAAGACGCGCAGGTTTAACACAAAGCTCTCTAAGCCTGTGCACGACCACCTGTTCGGCGTGTCGATGCTGATGCCTTAAATTTCGCACAAGTGTGCCGCTCGACGACCACAGTGGTGCTGAATGAAAAGGCTACCTCGGTGAGGCTGGGAATTGCCCTGCAAAATGTTGATGTCGAGTGACGTTGAATGAAGATGTTGCGTAACACCCAGCGGACCATAATATTTCTACCATTCTTTTAACGTTTTGACGGGAACTTAAAACATGGTTATGCAAAATGCGTTTACCAAATACAAGTAGCTGTATTTGCCCTATCAAAAGAAGAAAGAAGCAGTGCGACCAGGTCGTTTCTCCGACCATTCGATTTTCATCAGCGAGGGCAGGGGGATAAGTTTCACCTGAGAAATGTTGCCGATGTTCACTTTAAAAATTTATTTATTCAATTTAGGACTTGAAAGCGCTGGTATCTTATGAAAGGTATTCCCATCGTTTTGGGGCAGAGGGAATATCGGTTTTTTTCACAGATAAAAAAGTGGACTATTTTTAAGACAAACTTGCCATCCCCCTCAGACCCACGAGCTGGATACGCCACTGGTGCACCGTGGGTTTGGGGTTAAAGCCGGAGACGATCTGGCAATCTCAATTCAAGCCCCATTGAAAACAGTGTAAAATCAGCATTTTTTTAAGAGCTCATTATACATACAACATCCCTGGCGTTTCTGAAACAAAAAATTATATTATTGTCTTCTCCCCAATCTTTTAATTTCTTTTCCATTTTTGGTGGGTTAACCAATAACAATTTTAATTATTCACCCCCCCAAAAAAATATCTCCCATAAAAGTGGTATTTTAGAAGACTGCATGTGGGCCGAGCTATTTTTCAAGTGGCCCCCTTAAGTGGCACTTAGGACCAATTTAATTCTTTATTCATTTATCCCTTCCGCTCAGAGATGGACATCCAAAAGAACTTTCTTCTTTTTCAAAAGAAGCTGAGGGGTTTCTTTTCATTCTAATAAGCTTAGTACAAAATCGAATGAGTGGACGGCACCAGTGGCAGCATCGGAGTATATAATATAGCGCCCTCACTTTATAACGCTCACAAAGATTAAAGCCCAGACGCCTCTCAGAGTTGAACAGCGTGTAGTACTACTGTACATACAAGCTTTGTACAGGCACCCGACTTCATATCTTTATGCAATCAAGATCTGTCTTACCAGTACTCAGCGCAGTGAGAGACACATGCGTAAATTTGTGTTTTCCAAACTTTCTCACTTTTAAATGGAAGATCTATATATTTAAGGGTAGTACTTACTCTTAGGATCGTTGTTCATTTCCCTTTCACTTATTTGTAAAGCTTCTTATCGGGTATGTATTCCAAAATTAGGCCTGTGTTAGGCTGTGCACTGCAGTCTAGCGCGTTAGTTGCGGGAAACATCCTACAGCAAGTATGCACTGCACGCAGCACAGCAGGGCCTCCTGGCTGACTGAGCCTTCTGCATGAGCCTTTGCATGGTTTCATTGCAAGATACGGAGCAATTGCAGATTTTTCTGTTATACTGTGACTCGAAATGTCACGAATGTAGGCATAAGCGGCCTTCCGAAAACTGTTTGATTTGTTCAAATTGTTGTTAGTGCTATGTACATGGTACAACTACAAAAGTATCAAGGCATAGGACCTATGCCACAGCCACGATTATGTAATAGGACCGATTTCATGTCTGAATTATCATTGTCTTTGTGCATGCTTTTATTGGCTTGCTTGGTCAGACAGTCTGTCATTTAAAAAATTGTATTCTTGGAAAAAAAATGTTTCTTGCTTTTTTTAATACAATATCTCAGCAAGTTTTCCATGCTCTTTCAAGAGCCATAAGGAAGTTCTATGTCTTGACAAACGTTCAAACTTTTTGGCCCACGGCTTGTGTTGTTAGGTGAAACCTTCACAGTCAAAGATTGCAAAACAATTTTCTGTGACATCTTGTTTTTTTCAGTTTGATTCATTAAATGACATTATTATGAAAAAGCTGTACTCACTAAAATCTGTGAGTTTCCTGCAATTGAATCAGATTCTGAACACACTCAGTCTTAATTTTGTAAGTTTTAGAGCCTGGAAGGCCCTGGGCAGTCTTGATTGGTTTCCTTACGTTGGCACCGTTTAATCATTTAGTAGAGGATACAGCCATAAAGGGCTTAGAGGGTAAATGTGAAATTCTTGCCATCTTCAGTGATCTTGGGACACATGGTCTCCTCTCCCCCCCAAAAAAATGCCTAACATTTTTCGGGGATTGTGTACATGTATTGTGGGTCTTCCCCTCATTTTTTTTGGTCATTTTAATCTTGTAAAAATTAGTTAGGCCCCTTCCCCCCCCAAAAAAAATAATTAAATACACTGACCCTATTTGATAAAAATTCTGAATTGTAATTGTGAGAAAGTTTGACTTTCTCACTGATAAACCAGCCATGTAAAGTTGAATCCAGAACCATGTGTTAAATACTGACATAATTTCCCCCAAACTCAAAATCCTGCCCTCTTTACACATCAGTCCTACAGTTATTGAACATGATGTCATAGTCATCTACCTACATGAATCCAAAAGTTAACAACTAGGTCTACGTTCAGGAACAGGGTCCCTGAATACACAATCCCCCATTTTCTTTTAGGTTATAAAGGCTACCTGATTGCTTGTTTTCTGTACTAGGTAAGTGAAATGGCAAGAGGGCTGGGTCGGCTGTTTGTTCTTCCCTTCAACTCAGCTGGTCCATTCTCCAGTTGTCTTCTACGTAGAAACTTCCACAGCTTAGGAAATACAGGAAGACTTTTTATTCGGACCTGTTTAAGTGATGTCCCCAGAAACACATGCATAGCAAGAACCAAAACATTGTGCCTTAAGCAAGGCAATTCAGGTTGCCTCAGTGTGTCAAACATTCTGCTTGGGACACATTGCCGATTCTGCCACGTGTGGAGGAACGATCACAGATCAATTGCTAAAATCTCCTCCTGGGCATCCCCAGCAAGCAGGACACTCCCTGGTGGAGGTTTCAAGTTTGCCTCCCCTGGATTCGTAAGGGCTGCAAATGGTTCGTTGCTGAGGTGCTGTTTGATTTCCAGCGGGCAGAGGGAGGCCTGGCAGCATCGGAACAAGTCTGTGATGTTCTATGGGGTGGCATTGGTCATACTGGTGATAGGGTTCTCATACGCGGCTGTGCCCCTCTACACTGTGTTTTGTCAGGTTAGTATTCCCATCTGAAGTGAGACACGTACCAGGTCAACTTGGATAATTACACATTAACCCTCCTTTAGTTTTACAGCACAAATATGCGCAAGTGCCCAAGGTCACGCTCTTGCATGTTGGTGCAGTGCACAACATGACACAGCTGTGCTTCTTTGAGGTGTTTACCAAGTGACCCAAAGAGTGACTTCAGCATAGGAGGGTTTAGACACCTGACCCTCAGTGTTCTATACATTTTTGTCACTGATCACTGCTACTGCTGTGCTATGTTACGCTCCACTACACTCTGAATAATTTTGCTGTTTTTTTGGTCCTTGAAACCATACAGTGAAACTCTTGATATTAACAGAGGTTATTAATAAGGCCAAGAGGTTTTCCAGACAAAATCTGGATGGGTTTGTGATTTACAGCTTTAATTAACAAATATCCACCTGACTTGACACGTCCCTCTCTCGTCATCAAAGAAGAGACGGACTGGTGGGACGTTTTCCAACTCACCTTGTGCAAACGTGAACAGCGTACATACATGATCAAATGTGCACCACGCCAAAAATGCATGAATCTGTCCATGCTGACGGTGAGTTCTCACCAAAGGACCGTCGTTGCTATGTAAAAGCAAGCCATCTTTTGCTCACGCACGGAGCAGACAGAGGAAGAAAATGTTTGTTTTTATAAATTAAGCTGAGAAATGCAGTGACAGCCAGCGACAAATGCATGCATGTTGACAGCTGGCTCTGTTTTATCACTTGTAGGCCACGGGACTCGGAGGTCAAGCCACCAAAGGTCACAACATTGACCTGGTGGAGGACATGTTGCCAGTACGCGGTCGGCCCATCTCTGTCCGCTTCAACGCTGACACGGCCGCCAGCATGCGCTGGAACTTTAGGCCTCAGCAGCTAGAAATCAAGGTACATATAAAGCCATTGACAAAATGTATCATTACATAGCTTGCAGCGCTCAACTATGTTATATTGGACTCGATATCGGCCTTCTTCAACCAGATAAAGCCATGATCATACACGAGCCATCCTTATAAACCTCACCTAACATTTGCAGAAACCCCAAATGACTTATTCTTGAACAAAACGGATCACAGCTCACATACTGTGCTTTTGCCAAGTTTACACAGTCTTGATGCCTTTTCATAGGATTAAGTAGCGCCTAATTGTGGCAGGCTGGGCAGTGATGGGTAGGTTTGGTACACTGTACCCGGGGGGACGGAAGGGGTTTGCGTGTGATGTGTGCAGAGCTAGAGGTCTATAAGCCTATTCCATTCATTAAAAGGGGGTGTTCATAAGAAAGAGTTTCATTTAAAGTTACAATCTCCAGCGTTTCCATTATCTACAAGGATTATCAGAGAACTTGTTTATTTTCTATATGCACACCAGCCCTTTGTTTCATGGAGACTCTGTAAAAGGATTCCCATTTCAGCTTCTCGATCCAGCTATGAATCCTGCATGCGAACACGTTTATAATGCACCTCAAATTAACACCCCTAAATTCTATGCAACATTCCAAGTTTTTTCCTGAAATGCATGTGTAAAGGCCTCAAACTGTAGTCCTTTGAAGGAAATCCCTCCCTTCAACATCACCCTTTTTCCACGTTATAAAAAATGATTGATGCGTCCCATTTAAATTTTGTCTATTGCTTTTGGGTACCCGTATAGAAAAAAATTCTTCACATTCGATCAAAACTTAAAATGCGTGGAACTATCACACAGATGTAAGCAGCAATGCTGCAAACCTCTGTTCATTTCGTAGGTCGTGCCCGGAGAGACAGCGTTGGCTTTCTACTCTGCCCTCAACCCCACTGACAAGCCCATCACGGGCATCTCCACCTACAATGTGGTGCCATTTGAGGCTGGCCAGTACTTCAACAAGATCCAGTGCTTCTGCTTCGAGGAGCAGAGGCTCAATCCTCGCGAACAGGTAAACACAAAAGCACACAAAGCCAATTCCATGATGGGTATTGCAATCAGTGTCACAGAGTAATCAATGCTGTCAGAAGCCTACTACAAGTACATGTACATCAGGGGTCATCCAGTCTATCCCATTGCTTCATGTGAACTGGGTTGTTTTCCACCAGCATTGCTGATGCAGTCCTGTTTAACGTATCCAAGTGGGTATCAACTTGTGAATAATCATAAGGTTAAATAAGTTCAGTGTCATTACAGTGCTTGGCCCTTAAGTGCAGTCCTAATATGCAAATGTGATTTGGATCGTGTATTCCATTGGTTAAAGATTGGTCATGCACACTGCATGACTTTGACTTTGACAAACAGAAACCTGTGTACATGTACATGCATGCATTAAAGCCCATCATTGTGCTATCTTTAGTAGCCAGCAAAGCGTCATTTGCAGAACTGGCTTGATTTGTCACATTTCCCTATTTAAGCTGTTCACTCGATCAGGCCCACTTCCCACTCCTGTTACATTTGCCTCAGCTCATCCATACTTAATCCAAGCAGCTCACAGTTGTGAAGGTTGAACACAGTAATGATGCTTTTTGTTTTCCTCGGTAGGTTGACATGCCAGTGTTTTTCTACATCGATCCGGAGTTTGCCGAGGACCCCAAGATGGCCAAAGTAGACACCATCACCCTCTCGTACACATTCTTTGAGGCCAAGGAGGGACTGGTCTTGCCAGATCCATTCACTAAACCCGTAGAAGCGAAGGCGTGAAAAAAAAGAAAAATAAAACCCCTGCATCCACATTTTCTTTACTAGGTTCATGTGCACTTTCGGTGCTGACGTTTGGATGGCAGGGAAAGCGAAGTTGTTTTCAGGCAAACATGTCACTTTTCTGTCATCTGGACAACCTTATGTATAGGAGACCAGCCCATAATGTTGTGGCTAAGTTTTGTAGGTTTTGGTCAGGGTAAAAAGACTTGGTGAAATTGCAACTAACTAAAGTACGAACATGCATGTTTATCTTAAACTACAATTTAGTAATACGTAATGTACATATTTTTGTTACGGAAACATTCGAGTTAAGTGTTTTTCATGTAGTCATTAAGAAGTATTTTAAAGCCACAAGAAGCCTAAAATCATAATTGTACATGTCGCTGAATCATGTTGATTTAGCTGCACTTGTTCCATTGAATTGTATTTCCGCATAGGAAATTCTATAAAAGTGAATTCCAGGCAGACTTGCGCAATAAAAGTACTTCATAATCTTGTACATTTTTGGGTTTTATTGTGTTCTTTGCTTTTCAGGATAACATCGTACCTGTTATTTACTCATGAAGCACAAATTCAACACGATATTAAAATGAACACTACAATAGTGTGACGTATACAGAACCTGGGGAAGCTGAAATCATGTGCAGGTGACTTGCATGTGCCGAAGGAGTCCAGCCAGACATTGCAGGTGTTGAGATGCGGGCGGGGGGGGAGCGGAGAACCACCCTGGTGGCACAGGAGTTAAGCAACAAACAAGCCCGACTAACGTAGCCTGGGCCAGGAATTGAACCCAGGACCACAGTGCTGAGAGGCAATCGCTTTTACACAGTAGCCACACAATCTCGGTATTCACACATCTATACATACCCAGAGTTCATGGGAATTCTGGTGTCAGCTATCACAAGGTCTGCTCAAGTCCGAACCACTGCCAAAGTCTTTGAGTTGAAAGCAACACATTGACATGGGATGTTGAATGCTGAAAGTTGTTGAAAAAAGGACCAAGTGGACATCACAGCTGTCAGCAGTTACTAGAAAAACCGTCCAGCATTAACCCTGGGTATCTCAAATACTTCAGAGCTCCTTGCCTAAAGAGGGCCAATATTTGTTGCAAGTCCAACTAAAAGAGTACACGTAACAACAAAACAAAAATACAAACTGTATTTCAGTTGCAATAATTTTTTATTCACAATTTTCTTTTTCATACTTTATACAAGAAAACAAAATATTGTATGGTACAACATAATTACTTAAATAGTACAAGAACATAAAATAATAGTACTTCATGCCTTGCATGATTTTCTTGACGTAAAGAATGGCTCAATTTCAACAATATTAAAGGAATGCACTGTGTAAAACACAGCAGCATGGATTTACTATAAAACAAAATGGAAGTTGTGATTGTTAGACTTCCTGCTGATGACAAATTTCAGGCATAAAGCCTCGCCTTTACAAAAACATCTTCCACAAAAGTCTTGGGACAAAACCCCTAAAATTAAAGAGAATGAACATGAAACTATGAAATGAAATTTCTTCAGACTTGTTGCATTTTACACTTGAAGAATGTGACTACTTGTTCGGTAGGAACCTTCAGGTAGTGAGTTGTTGGCGCCATGCGCAGAAAGATCCTCACACACAGAAAGTCAATTGGGAAACACCAAGACCACAGCATCTTTCCAAAAACAAAGCTGCCATGATCACCCAAGATCTGCAGGCGTCTTCCCTCTAACAATAATGCACTTGCACAAATTATCAATGCAAAAATTAAGGTGACTACAGTAATCACAGAACCAAGTTCAACTTAACACCCGCTCCACATATATGTATCTGTAACCCCAACAGACCCAAATCATATTTCAAAAGTACAATTTTTTTATACACCATGGGCTAAAAGTACAATAATCAGTTTGGAAAAAAACAAAATGAAAGCAAAATATCTTTTTCTTTTTGGTTGTAGAGCCGACAGGCATTTCATTTTGAGGTCACGGCACATGTTCAAACCATGCCACAGTATTCCAGGATCACTTTTCATCTTACTTTAAAGTACACTGCACGCTTTAGGGGAAGATCAAACCCAGCTGATTGCAGTTTCTTTTGCTTTCCCAATATTTCAATTCAGTTCCTTCCGAACGTCAATTATTTTACTTGATGGTAAATATTAAACAATTCCTCGTTCACCAGTTTCTCATGGTTAAATACGACCCACAAGCCAAACAAAAAGAAGAACAGTCATGAGGAAATCAATTCCATTGATTATCAAACCTTCTCAGAGACAACATACAGGTCCGTGAACTCATGCATAAATACTGCGTGTGTATTCAGGATATTTTTGCTTTTGTGAAACCTAAATGATTCAATGTGTCCTTTTCACTTCATGTACCCAAAGAGTACATGCATATTTAACACTTCCTGAAGATTGCGACAAAATACAAAGGAAATGATGTTCATGTATTTCTGTAAACTCTCACAAACGAGCCACTCTTACATACTACAAAAGTGGAGGATTATGCTCTCCCTGCAACTGATAAATATTGGGTTTTTTTTTTAAGAAACATACTTTCAGTCACACGTAAAGTATCTCTGTAGCTGAATAAAGAGAAGCCCTCCTATACTGAAGATGTTTTTGTCTGTGAGAGGGACAAAAGCCTGCTGTCTGAGAAAACAACTGTACTAGAATTTAGAATGGCCGCCCAAATACTTGAGTCTAGTTCTCGATTTCAGATGTCCATAAAGTGCAGGAAGATGTTGTCCTATGAAAATATATTCGGAAGTGCATGCAGGAACTACACTACATATATCACACAATGCCATTACAAAAAAAATCCTGGTGGTGCATATGTAGCTGAATATGTAGTGGCAATTACTTTGTGAAACGTGTTCCAAGTTCACATTTTGGTTGCATAAACTGCAGCGGATTTTATGAAACTTTACGCAATAGCATAGCTTCGATTGCACCACAATTCCTAAGCATGCTGTGGACGTGAAACACATCAAAAGTATTTTTATGAAAATTAAAAACATTATTGTGTAACTCACACAATCATTTTAGGGAGCGTAAGTTGTGCTAAACAATCAAGAATGACCATTTGACTAACCAAGTTTGGTTAGGGCTAATCACTGCTTGATTTAACAAGGTTTATATGGAAAATGTACTACTTTGCTTGTTTTCTTGAAGTAATGACAAACCTGTTGGCTGTGAGGGAACTTTGAGATTTTCTGCTCAGTTCCAGCAAAGATAAGACGAAAACATTTTCAAAATTGAAGGGTTAATTTAAATCCTGTCTAAAGATACAGCTGTCGTATAAGCCGTGATCGTCCTCATCCAAAAAGTTTCATATAATCAAAACATTGCGCAGGGACGCAACTTTTCGCGAAACTGACTGTACGTATATTGCACAAGTATGCCACAATTTGGTGGAACAAGGCTCAAGAGTAGTGCAAACTTAGCTCAGTTTTGTAACATTGGTGCAAACGTTTGTAAAATTGGCAGCTGGTCTTTAGTCCTTGTGCCTGCTCTTCTTCTTTTTGGGCTTTTTGTGCTTGTGCTTATGAGAGGTGGAGTTCTTCTTGGCTTTTTTGCTGGTCTTCTTGTGCTTCTTGTGATGCTTCTTGTGGCGTCGTTTGGTACGCTTCTTCTTGGAGCTTCTCTCCTTGCTGGGGCTGCGGCTGGGACTGCTCTCCTCGCTGGAACTGCTGGAGCTATCTTCCTCCTCCTCACTACTGCTGCTGCTGCTGCTGGGACTGGTGCTGCGACTTGGGCTCCTGCTCTTGCGCTTCTTCGACTCCTGTTTCTCTTTGGTGGGGCTGACCCGCCGCTGTCGTCGCTCAGGGCTTGGCTTCCTCTCCCTGGGTGGGCTGGACCGACGAGGGCTAGGGTGTCGCTCCCGGACAGGACTGCTCCTACGATCTCTGACAGGGCTCCTGATTCGTTCTCGCTTGGGGCTAATGATCCGTCTGTCCCTGTTGTGCATTTCCCTGGCAGGACTAAGTCTTCTCTCCCGGATGGGACTATGGCGTCTCTCCCTGGGGGGGCTGCTCCGTCGTTCTCGAGGAAGGCTGGCATGTCTTCCTCTGCTGGGGCTGGACCTTCTTTCTCTGATGGGGCTAATCTGTCTTCTTTCTCTAATCGGGCTTGGTCTTCTCTCCCTGTGGGCAGGACTTCGATCACGACCCTGGACAACTCTTGTGGGACTAGGCCTCCTTGTTCTTGACGGACTGGGTCTGCTTCCCCGGTTAGGTGAGCGCCGCCTGTCCCTCAGCGGGCTGGTACGTCTGTCCCGTCCAGGACTGCTTCGTCTGTCTTGATGGGGGCTGCTCTTGCGCTCTCTCAATGGGCTCTTCTTCTTAACTGGTGCAGGACTGTGCTTTCTTTCCTTTGCTCTTGGGCTTGGGGCTCTTATGGGACTGATCCTTCGTTTCTTTGGTGGATTTGCTTTGTTCTCCTTAAGCTCCTTATCTCTCTTCTCAGGACTTCCACTCCTGTCTTTGCTTGAGCTGGACCTTCTCTCTTTTGCAGGAGCTTTCTTATCCTCAGTCAGGCTTTCTGGTTTCTTCTCACTGGTTTTAGCATCTTCCTTGTCTACCTCAAGCTCCTCTTCATAATCAGGCTCGAAGTTCTCTTCACTGTGCTCCATGTCAAGGAGTGTCTTTGGCGATGGAGCAGCAGAGGGTCCAGGCGAGGGTTCTGACTCATACTCATCTTTATCCCACCGTGAGACAGGTACTGCAACAGTAATCAAGTCACTGTTTGCACTCTCTGACTGCGTGCTCAAACTCTTTTCCAATGTAGGAATGTTGATTTTACTATCACTAACAGGGATGTTGTCGGCAGTTTTTACGGGGCTGGAATTTTCCGTTTTTATTTTCATTTCCACTGTTTCACTATCTGGTAGAGCCTCTCCCTTTTCCATTGGTTCATCCTTGACTTTGGTTGGCTCTTGCGGGACAGGTAATTCTTCTTTGATGGCCTCTGAAGCATCGGCCTGATCACTTGCTGCTTTCTGTGCGCTCACCTGGATAACATGACGTTGGTCTTGAACGGGTTCTTCCTTGATCTCCTCTTTGACAGGATGGGCACTGGTGTTGCTCACTGCTGTATGGAGGGGACTCCCACCGGGAGAGCTGGTACTGGAGTAACTGGCAATGATTGCTGGCTTGCTGGATGTTTCTTGCTCAGCCTGCACATCTCTGTCTGCAGTTTTTGTTGTCTTGGACTTTTTACTCTTCTTTCCTTCCTTCTTGGAAGCTTTCTTGGAAGCTTTGTTCTGTTCACCATCACTGTCAATCTTAGCCATCTTTGCCTTGGGTTCTTCTGAGGTTGATGCTTGCTCGGTGCTGGTTTCAGATTTACTGGCAAGCTTGCGTTTCTTTTTCTTCTTTTCCTCCTTGTCTTTGCTCTTTTTCTCCTTCGATGTCTTGGTCCCCTCGCCATCCCCAGCTACATTCTGGGGGTCCGAGTCTGATTTCTTGTTCTTCTTGGTTTTCTTGTGCTTAGGGGATTTCACTTTTTTGACAGAGTCTGTGTTCTCTTTTGCCTCTTCAGGCTTTTCAGTGGCAACTTTCTCATCTTTGTTATCATTTTTATTATCTGCTTTGGAGACTTCTGACTTATCCTCCTTGTGCTTGTGCTTCCGTTTGTGCTTGGAAGTTGAATGCTTTCGCTCTCGCCCCTTCTCTTTGTCTTTACTTTTACTTTTCTCCTTCTCCTTTTCTCTGTCTTTGGACTTTTCTTTTTTGTCTCTGTCCTCAATTCTGTCCTGGTCAACCTTCTCTCTATCTCTACTCCTCTCCCGACTATGATCCTTCTCCAAGCTTTTCCTTTTCTCAATGTTTTCTTTGTTGCGGTCTTTGTCTCGCACCTCTCTATCTCTTGACTTTGTTCTATCACCTCTCCTGTGCCTGTCTCGGTCTCGACTGGATCGGTTGGGTCTGTCTTCAGCCTCCCTGAAAGGTGAACGATTTGAACGGCTCCAAGCTTCCCTGTCAAGAGGTGAATCATGTGGTTCCACAGGGGTGAGAGGGGGCCTGTCAGGGTACTCACTGGGGTACTGGTTTCTGTATACGTATTGTTCATCGTGTTCAGGAGGGTAACCAGACTCCCTCATGTCTGGTCTAATGTCTGGTCTAATGTCTGGTCTCATGTCTGGTCTTGGACCAAGATCAGGTCTGAACTCTGCTCTGTAATCAGGTCGGAATTCAGGCCTGCCATCAAATTCTGGACCATAGGGCTGTTCAAATCTGGGAAACCTTTCTTCTGGATAACGAGGATAAGGCTCACTGGGATGGGGTGGAAGCATGAGGGGTGGCGGGTAAGGATGCATTGCAGGAGGTGGTGGAGGATCGTATCTTTGATCATAACGCGGATCATAGCGGGGATAGGGCGAGTGATCTCTGTACCGAGGTGACCTTGTTGCTGGGTAGTAGGGACGAGGGGGCGATCGAGATCTAGATCTTCTCATAAATGGTCTAGGTCTGAGAGGTGCCCGAATCCTTGGGAATGAACGTGATCGTGACCGCCGCCTCCTAATAGGAGAGCGGGATCGGCGTGGGGAGCGGGACCTCCGACGTGGTGACCTGGATCGGCGTGGCAGAGGCCTGCGATTGTCCCAGGATCGGGAACGGGTTCTGCGGTGTGACACACGATGTCGTGACCGGGACCTTGATCTTGACCTCGACCTTGACCTGGACCGTGACCTGGATCGCCGCTTAGCCTTGGTTCTGGATCTGGAACGGGATCGGCTCCGCGAACTGATGACAGAGGAAGATCTTGAGGTTGAGCCCAGAGAGCTGGACCAGGAGCTGCTGCTAGAGCGAGATGACCTGCTGCGGGACCGTGAAGTGGACTGCCGAAGCTTCTGGTCACGCTCATACTCCATCAGATGGTTGGCAAACTCGTCCATAGGGTCCAATCTCTTGGGAGCAACTTGTCTATTGTCAGCTTGTCTGTTAATAAGTTGACAAAAAACCAAATAAGCATATCAAAGACATTACAAATTTATGCGAAGTGATCAGGGTTTCTTTCACAGAAATACAAAAATTAAGAGAAGTTAATTATTTGGGCAACGTTTTCATCAGCTTGATATGTCTGATGGCCTAATGAAATTGAATCTCTTAATCTATGATAGCAACAATTTAAAAATTCCAAATAAACTTGTATTTAGTTATGGAGCATACAATTTAAAGGTACAGTCCACCATTCGCCAGTTGGGCATTTTTTTCTTTTTCATCAATGTGCTCAAAATTTAAAAGAATGACTAACAACTTACCTGCTGAAGTTTAAGCTCAGTGAATATTTTATGTGCAGAGAAAAACAATGTTTTAGATCCTGATATCAATTACAAATTACCGAGTCAGGTTTGGAATTGAACCCAAATTCAGCATCCTGGACACTTTCATTCAGCTGAATGCAGCTTCATAATGTCGGGCACTGAACAGATGAATGATGGCAATTGCAGCACTTATCATGTGAACACTTGCACGGGCTTCACCAAATTAAAATGGACCTACTGACGGCAAGTCCACAAAACGCATCTACAGATGCATTGCCAGATATAGCCTTTTTTTCATTTTTTCCTTCAAAATGACAGCTTACCAGAAAGAATAATTTCATAGACAGTTTAGTCCCATAACCATATCCCTAACCAACTATGCTTTTCAACAATACTTTCGCCCGTTATTTTTTTGATAATTGCAAATGATGGACTTTACCTTTAAAGCATGTGAAACTTACACAAAGTTGGTGTAATTACATAGTATTCAAATGAATGCCAAACTTACTGAAGTCTCTTTTTTTCCTCATAGAACTCTTCCTCTGTCAGTGGTCTATTTCCGGGACCAGCAGGTAGGAATGGTGGCGCTGGCTTGGCTGGAACAGCAGACGGGACTGTTGGTCCAGAAACTAAAGGAGCCCCTTGTAGAGGATGTGCTGGTGGTCTGGCTGGAGGTGCGCCTCCAACAGGTGGACCATTCACACGAGGAGGAGCTACATTCATGTTTGGCAGTGGACCACGAGGTGCTGGTCCCTGGTTTGGGGGAGGGTGCTGGACAGGTGGTGGTAAGCCTCGAGGTGGTGGCAGAGGTGCAGGGGGTCTCTGGTAGTTCGGCTGAGAAGTTGGGCCAGGTGGTGGGCCAAGAGTGGGCCGAGGTGCTTGAGGTGGTGGCCCTGTGAGATGGGGTGGTGGAAGACCTTGGTGTGGGGGTGCCGGCCGGTTCTGAGGAGGGGGAGGTCCTTGGTAAGGAGGCTCCTGGTGGGGTGGACCTTGGTAAGGGGGCCTTGGAGGGGGTGGGCCTTGCTGAGGAGGTGGGCCACGGGGTGGGGGCCCTGAAATAGGGGGACCTTGGAATGGAGGTCCCTGTTGTGGAGGCCTCGGTGGTGGTGGCCTTTGGTGAGGAATCTGCTGTGGAGGTGGTATTGCAGGAGGGGGACCTCTTAGTGGAGGACCTTGATATGGAGGGCCTTGCTGAGGTGGTCCTTGATGTGGGGGACCACGAGGTGGAGGGCCTTGCTGTGGAGGGCCCTGGTAAGGGCCTCCATGGGGTGGTGGTCCATCATGGTGTCTTTGGGGTGGGCCTGAGTAACTGGTTGGAGGAGCTTGGTATCTGGGTCTAGGCTGGTCTTGGTATCTGGGCTCTGGAGGTGGCCCCCCACGATTGTCCACATGATATCTGAGCCCTTGCTGGTCTGTTTGTTGCCTGGGCTGGTATTCTGGTCTGGGAGCCCTGGGGTATTGGCTGTATCTTGGTTCATAGGTCCTTCTGTCTTTAACACTGAGGACTGGGACTTGCTGGGTTACCTGAATTGATCAAAACAATACCCCCAAAAAGAAAAGAAAATACAGTAAGATACCAGGTTTGATGCAATGTGTATCCTTCAAGAAAATATGCTACCAAAACATTTTCTAAGTTGAACCGTCAAAGCTGCACTGAACAATCTGTGTTTACCTGATCTGGCTTTCTAGTCACTGATGTCGTTGTTGCTGCTGACGATTTAGAGGAAGAAGTGGCTTGGGACTGGGGTGTGGAAGGCTTTGTGGTGGGAGGTGCCGCCGTCTGAGCAGGCTGGCTAGGTGGTGGCTGGGCAGGTGCTGGGGGAAGCGGCTTGGGCCTGGCTTGCTTGGGCACTATCTTCTTGGTGAAGCCTGTCTCGTGCTGAAAGTCCAAGGCCGTCTGTAAAACAAGGAGAAGCACTGATTTCTAGTGGTCGGTTTTTATGGTAAGGCAGATCAGGTGAAAGTCCCAGTTCTTAAACAGAGGCAATTACTGGCGCGGCAAGGAGGACTTGCCCTTACTCCTTTTCAATAAATAGGCTGAGTGTGGAAAGACTTATTTCATGCATTATTTCAGAGTCCTGTTGAATCGAACAGGGTCTACCAAAGGGCAAGAAAGCTTTACAATCACTGTGGAGATGGTTGGATAAAGGCGACTGAATCACCTGGCATTTGTTAAACATGTATCTGCAAATCTATTGCTGGGTGTGCACTCTTCTCAATGGAAAGCTTCAAATTGAATATGATGACTTTGAAACTCTTTCTAGATTACTTTTGCCAGCGGAATCAAACAATGTAATACCGTCATTTCTAAAAGTCTAGAACCAAACATACATAATGCATTAACCACAAGAAAAGCCAAACCGCAATTAATTTGAAATTTTTAATATCTTATCTTTAGTGTGCCCTCCTCTGTTTCTAATGACTTAGACTGAATTTTGTTACCTACGCTGCACGACAGACAAATGTCACTCAAGACCTGCCTTTATAAAAAAAAATTCACTCAAATGGGTTCATACCACAACCCTGATGTTATGGACTACTATAAAAAGCACTTTATTTAATCATTTCATGAGACAATGTACTGCAGGCCCAGTAACAGAAACATCTACAAAATGCCAGGTGGTCTTCAACTTTTGCAAATGACTGCAACAATGACAGTATGTACAGTCGACTCTCGGTAATATGAGCTCGGGTAAGACGAGACTCTGGTTTTGACAAGCATATTTGCCAGTTCCGACTGAATTGTGCACATTCCTATGAGGGAAACAATGTGTGATACGAGCTCAGATGTTACGAGATCTCGGTTAAGATGAGCTTTTTTTGTCAGTGGCCGAGTGCAAATCTATTGAAATCTGTCTATTTAGCACAAGCTTTTTTGAAAGCAACTTGTCAATCAGCCAGTCCGGTCAATTTTGAAAGGTGCTTCCGTAATTTATACGTGTACAGTAGAACAGCGCTGCAATTTTCCCTCACCGAATCGAGCCGTTTGTGTCCGGTGCTGCAAGAGAGACGAACAATGAGCATTTGCGGTTCCCGTATCCAATGTAGAAATTCTGTGTGGCGGCTCTAGTACCACCGGAACACAAGCGAGTGCTGCCAACAGTGCTACGGTATTTAGGACAGTGGTGAACAAAAGAAATCTTTGTTTGATTCCCTCGCCCCTAAAAAATCCAAAAGACCAAAGTCCCCCCACGAAACTAATAAAAATTGTGTTCCGTAACCAAACACCCGGCCCAAAAAACTGCCCAACCTCCATCTAAAAATCATTACCCGCTCCCCAGTCCCCACTGTAACATGAAAATATCACCCCTTCCAATTTTAACATTTCTATAAATTCTCAATTTAAGAAAATCATGACTGAACCATGGTTTTCAGTCCAAAAATGTTTAAGAAAATAACCAAAAGTTTGGGAGAAAAAAGTGTAACCCTCGCTAATAATTTTTCACCATACCCAAACGCCTATCCCAAGTAAAATCCGATATTCGCCCTCTGCTGTCCAAACAACCAGTAGCTGGTTATCTCCCATTTTAATGTGCAACAAGCCAGGTCTGGTGTTGATTACCAACTAAAATGTTAATGTACTTATGTTACGTGCGCGAATGTGGATCTCATCACGGCGTGCGGGGCCGGGGACATGTCGCTCTGAATCGACATGACTGGTGGAAATTCCATTTCCTCCGTTCTTAGATTTTATAATTATTTTTTATTTCAAGTCTTTACTCATTAAACTGTATCTCACTTTCATAAACAAACTTTTTAAAATCAAATTCACGTAATGGAACGATACTATGTGCATTTAAACAAAAAGTTATGCATACTTGTACACATGTACGCTTTACCTATGGTCGATTGGTGATACATACGTCGAGCAGGAAGGCAGCTTTTGCGTAAGACAAGGTCCGGATAATACAAGCTAATTTAGTAAGTCCCAAGGCCCTCGTATTAACGACAGTCGACTGTATATAGCATCAAATTACTAAGGGTACAACACACTTGTTATCATCATCCATGCACACCAGGTCACAAACATTCCAAACACTATCTCAGCTCCCTGGAAAATATAAAACTTGATGCTGCCGTGTTTGGCGCAAACAGCTGTCATCAAACACAACAACCATCTCTACCCTCACAGATACCCATCAATGCCCTTCCGGGTGGGAGTCAAGAGGCAAAAGGGAGTAACGTCACTAGTCAAAGGTCACAGCATGCGACCAGCACCTGATTTACACTCCCAACCCTATATCCCTGAATTGTAAACCTTAGCCACTTGGCCACACGCCTCTTTCGTCGGGTCAATGCTATAAGGTTCTTAAAGAAAAATTGCGCTGTAAGGGCCTTATTGGAAAATGTTGATTAATTAAAAAATAATTGGTTGAGAAGATTGGATGAATTTTAAATATACATGTGTTGGTAAGAATCAAATTTTGAAAATATAACCGTCTGGGATACAGTCTCTTTCACCAAAAAATGTTTATTTTCAGAAGGCCCTAAGCCTATTTTTGAAAATTGTCATGACTGCGTTAAGGACCTTAAAGCACTGAGGCGACGTCCGATGTCCATCACAAGGCCCTTTAAGCAATACATACCTGACGGAGCACTTTATTTGGGCAGAGTGAGTTTGGGGAGACGTCAGTTTCCTTGCATATAGGGCACTGGTGATCATCAGTCTCTAGGAGGTAATCTCTGATGCCTGTGGAAGAAGGGCATTCAAAGAGTAATGCTTTAGTGGGTGGTTGACACAACAACCACTGGTACTTTGGTATGACTAACCCTGCTCCCCTACCACAAAGAGTGCAGAGTAACAACCAATCACACAACTGCTGAGTATAAGGCTGAACAAGCCCTTAAGTTTCTGTAACCAGATTTCGTGAACCTCTTTGAAAGGTTCAGGCAAAAAAAAAAGCATAATAATTGGGGCATTGCACTACCATGCAAATTAATCTTCCGAGTTCATTCCTGGCCTGTGCCTAAACATTACATTTTAGTCTCCAAACCCTGTGCAGTTTGCAAAATGAGTTTCAAAAGAACCCTTGAAATACCAAAATTAACATAAAATTTCTCAGTAAAAAATGTCTAACAACTAAATCTCATCCAAATCAGTGATGAAGTCACATCACTAAAAAAAAGTGGAGGTTAAAGGTTTTAACACATTGTATGAAAATGACAAGTTACTCACACTCATCACAGAAACTGCTCCCACAGCAGGGGATGAGCACTGAGTCGGTCATGAGATTACTGCACAGCGGACAGAGCAGCTGGGCTGGGATCTCAATCGTCTCCTCCTCTGGCTCGGGCGAGTTGCTCTTTAGGAAGGGATGTTTTTCTTTCTTGATAGTCTGGTAGGCATTGCTGAGAAATTACAATGGAAAAGATACCTTGAATGTCAAAACATGATATTCAAGTGGGATGAACCCTATTTCCCTAAACTCTCCCAGATCCTTGAAAAATCTATGAGAAGGTTGGGGAGGAATTCACACCCCCTTAACACTTTTTTCTTATAATGCACTTTTTTCTTCAATATTTTCCAACAGACATGTAACAGTATTTTGACTGTTCAAAACAACCATGAGTTTTACAGTCAATACCACATTCTAAGCAACAAGCATATTTCTTGGGCAAATTGTAAGGATTTGGAGACTCAATTGCCAAGTTGACTGGCAGATCAACTCTGCCTGTAAATGGGGGGGGGGAAGGGGTGGGAATAATGACTTACTGGTCGATTGTGGGCACAGCGTAGTGGCCCGAGCTTGTAAGCTTGGCTCCCTTGATGGTTGGGTCGTCGACAGTTGTCATAAACTCCCGAGGTATTCCGGAGCTGACTCTTGGGAAGCGGGCTACGGTGTAGGATGGTCGAGCTGGATCCTGTTTTATTTTTGTTCAGGGAGAATTGGGAATGTGGGGAAAGAGTCATAAAAGTTTTACTACATTCGCTACATAGAATGAGATATGAGCTGTCAGTATCATTGGTGGTCAGAGCCCAGTTTAGAAAAGATGAGGTTTCAGCACTGTACTCAACCCTTCCATAAGCCACTGTGCTTTTCATTTTTTAGAGTAACCTCCTATAACATGCAGCTCCTGGCAAAAATTGTGCTTCTCAGCTAATTAAAAGTTTAGCCTCAATCATGGGGCCAGCTGATCATCACTGCGTAAGGGCAATATATGTCACAGAGAAACCATCTACAATACAGGGACGGCGCTTCAAGGTTTTCCAATGGTTCCACGTTATGTGAAAGCAATGGTCACCATGTGCAAGAGGTCTATAGGGTGCCATAGCTTGAATCATGTCTGCAGAGGTAAACAGGGGGGCCAAGGCAGGAGAACCTGGGGTTAACAGACATGGCATGTGCTGTGGTTCTGATGCAGCCAGTGGGGTTGCGCACAGATGAACCACCATTATACTGGTCTCTCCCCGACTCACCGGTCCTCTGGGGCAGTCACGGATGAAGTGGCCTGGCTTCTGACATCTGTGGCAAGTATAATTCTGGCCAGGACGCATGTTGTTACCGTATCTTCCACCATACCGTTCATATCTGGTGTTAAAAAAGTACACAAGCACGTCAGCTGAGAGTTTATCCCTCAAAATCAATGTAACACACTCGTGTTGGCTCTCTGTACTTTAGCAATGGAACAACACTAAGCCACACTTTGATGTACATCTTCACTAAAGATTTAAGACCATACCCGTTTACGACACACACGTGTGGACATGCAATTCTGTCAGAGGTGCAGTTACTTTGTCAAAATGCTACTTACTAGCCAATGTACTCTGAATGGCCTAGCACACAACTACATGTACATGTACTCGCATAGGAAAGGCACTAACTGTTCCGGCGGAAGTGGGTATTTATGAGTTGACCCTGCACAACATTCACATGAACAGCAATAAACCACTCTCCGGCTCTGTGTTTGAGTGAAATGTTTAGAACTAATTATATGCCTTAGCAAAAGATAACACTACCTAAAGCTTGAACATTAAGGATTTTAGCTTGTAGTCAATTTCTGCCAACTAATGCAGAATTTTACACTGGTGGAGTTTGTTTGCTGTCTTTCTGAAGGTTAACATGATCTGTCACACTTACTTTGAAGGGTCGTACTCATGACTTGATTGGAACAAGGCTGCCTGAATTTTGTCATCTTCTGAGGCATTTGCATTTGCAAGGTCTGAGGTCTGTTGGCAGCAAAGACAGTTGAGAGATTTGTTATTCTGTGCATGTAAAGGTTAGGAGTGGAAAAACAGCATCTAATACTGAACTTCACGAATGTCCCACCGTTCTTCAACTCACTTAAGGTGGCCAATGTCACAGCAATTATTGATTCTAAGCCATCAGGGAGAAATACCAGGACAAGTCCGTGCCCTTTGACATTGTCTACTAAAGCGCAAGGGGTAATTCTGTTATGCTGGTATGAGGTGCACTGCATACTGAATTGTGTTAATTCAGATGAAAACTCCCTACTTTGGCATATGACAATGTAATTCAAGGTAGGCCTTCCCTATGTTTAAGGGGATTTCTTTTTTTAGGAAACAAAAATCTGTCCCTGTAACATTTTGGTCCCCTGTAATGTCTATGTTTTACCTTGTGCGTAGTCTCTATAACTTACAAACAAGTAACTGCATACACGTGGGTACACCCACCCTGAATATAGTCTTTTTTAACAGTAATAACACACGTTAGAAGATGCACTTCTGTATGAGAAGACACATTCTCACAGTGGCTGAATTTTAAGCCCCATTTCTTGAAAAAAAAAAAACCAGTGGCTAGCCAAAGGAAAAGTGATGCGTACCTTCTTGAGTTGTTCAATGGTCATTCTAGAGGTGTCTTCGCCCTGCACAGTGATTGGAGATTGAAAGAAACATGGTTTTGCACGTGACATTGTAACCCTTTTAAGCGAGGAGGAAAATTCCATTCTCGCACAATACAAGTACAGATTTTATAACCGAAAAGCCTTAGTGTGATGTAGAAAAACCTGACCAATTAAAATTGCTGGTCCTCAAATCCAATAACAAGAAGTAATCTACCTGGGATGAATGCACTTGAGACGAACTGGAAAATCAGACAGAAATTATTATCAATTTAAATACTGTAAACAAATCATTTCAACAATCATCCAATGACGTGTTCTTTGCTCTTCTGTCAGTCGCTTATTATCCAACAAATTGGCTGTGACACTTGGATATTTCTTCTGGCTCTGTCAGGAACATAGCTATGCGGCACTGTGCTGCATTCACAGCTTACAGATTCTGTATGCAGTCATCTAACAGGTGTCTCCCAGTCGGTCTGATTCCTGCACTTGCATGTCACCCACTAAGTCTTCCAAGCACTAGTGAGCAAGATCTGTGCAAGGTGTGAGCAGAACCTGGGCGTAGATGTGGTCCGACAGACATTACTCATTTCAGATATTATATTTCTCTGTACTCAGCTTGAAACAAAGAGACTCATGGTACTCAATATAAAAACAAGTGACAAGTATACATAGTGCAATTGGCCTGGTTTATTCCGTCATCGATATGGCAGCAGCATGGATTTTGTTTCTTAAGGAATTTTATTTTTTTCCACCAACCGACCCTTCCTCAATTTAACCATTGAACATAAAAACGGGTGCCCTAATCCGTTAGTCTTCATTCTTAAATGATCCCACTCACTTACTGTTTGTATTGCTCAAAAACTGTTTGCCCACTGCTTTAATTTCTGCACTTGCACTCTGGGACAGGAATAACCACAGCTTGATGAGCCCTTTTTTTTCATTTACTTATCCTAAATTCTAGCAGGTGTAAAAGCTACGTTCTTATGGTCAATTCCTTGTTTTGACTTGTGTAAATACCCTAATCAAATTATCCATCAAGTGAAAACTTGACAAGATACAGTGAATATGTTCATGGAGAGCTTTTACATGAGTATACCATCTATAAAGTAATGGCTTCTAATTAATTCTGGTTACAAAATTACACCATAACAAAATTTGGCTAGTCCAATTCTCAGTAACCTGGTCAAGTTAGTGAGAATTGATGATTGCTGCTTCAAAAGGCCAACAGTGATAGAGCTGAGACATCTAGAGGCTAGATTTACTATACCACTCAAAGCAGTCAGTAGCTGTGTAACACCCAGTTTTTTGGGTGAGGTTTCTTGGGCCGTTTTCCAATACTCAACTTTGTCTCTGTCCCCCAAAACCAATCCCCAATTGTGGGCCTGAAGCACTTAAATCTTATTGGATGTTCTGTGGCACTATTAGACTAATTACTGCACTTACAGCTTTAAAGTCAGCTAGTAAAAAAAAGCCTGAGACGGAGCCGAAGTTGAGTATTGGAAAACAGCCATAGATAAATACTGAGTTTTTGTTATTTTTGCAAGCTCTCGGATAAACGCTAAGTATGCAGTGTTATGATATCCAGCAGTGTACATGTAAGGGCAACCTGTTATTAAAATCAAACATTGATTTTTTTCTTTTTTTTACTGATCGGAACTGATCACTGAGCAAAGGGTTTGGGGGCTACATACATGGGCACAGCACATGTGGATGTTGTATTTTCCGAGAAAAAAATGCCCTCAAGTGTTACAGAAACAGTAAAATTTGGGTTTTCTGGTTCTTGACACAACAGTGAAAATGAGATGACAAGAAGATACGAACCAGTTCAGAATTGTTTGTTTGCATATGGCATATGGGTTCAATCAGTAATGCTACTGCAAGTGCAATACTGTTCTGCTGAATACTGATGCTGGCAAACTCATCATGTTCATTCTACAAAGTGCAGTAAACTTCTTTGTACTTAGATAAACTGTGAAGACTGTGGAGAATGGGGAAAATCCAACAGAAAAACCCAGCAGGGCAGTGCAAATTTTGGCAGGGTGGCAAACCTTCAGCGGCACGACCTAAATTTTTCGCAGGACGGCCTACCCTGCTACAACCCCCGTGGAGAACACTGCACGTCCCTGTTATAAACAGATTATCCACATGTTCTGCCTTGGAAACAGTGAAAGCAAACCTCCAAGAAGCCTGCTGTAACCCTGAACTTCAAGAATACACTCGAGCGCTTCACCAACTGTGCATAATGTCGTCCACAAAATGTCACCCTGCCTTGAAAAGTTATGGGGTAAAGTGTAGAGACTGGGAAATGGTCACATGAACGCCGTTATTGTAGTCAATTAGTTCATTTGAGTATTCATCAAATGAGGCCTTTATAATGAAATTCAAGACGAGTTAAGTCATGATAAAGTGACTTCTTGCTGCAAGACCAATCACTTAAACCGCTCGAGGCACGAGTACAACGTCATTATTCTGAACACTATCGTATCAGACAATTGAACACACCCCTTGGCTCCTTAAGTTCTGTGCACTTTTACTGAACATCAAAACTTGCTTACATAAGAAAAAACATTTCTAGGACCAGGGTTTTAGCTAGGATTGGGGAAAGTGGGAGTGCAAAATAAAAAAGTGGGAATGCAACTTGAAGAGCCAAGAATTTGATTGCGAAGCACACAAAATGAGCGGGGAATGTGAAGTCTGTAACCGCCGCTGTCTGGGGCCAACTTCAGAGCCTTACAAGCTTCTTTATATGGTCTCTGGTAGTCTCTTAGGCATTTAAAAAAAATTTTCAATAAAAGAGAGGTAAAATGGTTTAATTTTTCGCCCCCCGAGAGTAACAGGTTTAACAGAATGCACGTACCCAAATGTTCAAAAATACAATTGCACTAGGAATTAGCCTGACAGGGACCTTGACAAAATGGAACATACCAGAACAAAGCTTTTCAAAAAGTTGCAAGACTTTTTTTCCCCAGTACCATGTACTGTGGCATTGTAGGTGTACATTGTAGGTGTACACCGATTCTTTGGTTTGCTCCTTCTGAAACTGAAAACACTTAAGGAAGTTTCACGTAAAGACCAGTTTGGTATCGTGACCTTGAGAGATCCCCCCCCCCCAATTTGCTTTTATTAATCCAATAACACTGAAGGTAAGCAGACAGTACAAGCGTGGTTTGGCGAAGCATCACAAGTGAATATCACTTTTTTGCACAGTAGAAATAAAGTAGGTGATCATGGCATGACAATTCAAGAATTATGAATTTCTTGCAGGCCCTGGCCTTGCCTAAAAACCTTTTCAATTTCCTGACTGACAAAAGCATTTGCTTTGCCAGCAGTTGTTCAGGACTCTAGTTGCCAGGCAGTGGAATGTGTGCTGCGCCGTACATGCATGTTCAAAACTACATGTACCGTATGACGGTACGTGTGCCTTGGCTCAATGCAGTGCCTCATATCCCTGCATGGTTCCCACTGGCTGCCATTGTGTACATTTCATTTTGATATCAGCGTTCTCACTTTTTATTGTATAGAATGCTTTAAGTATTAATGTAGGTCCCAAATACCTGTACATATGAAATGTGAAAGGTTCGGTGTGCACACTTCAAATTTTCGAAAGTTTTGACATCGTAAAGTGCAGCAATGGGTCCTGCATGATGGTTGGCGTTATCACGCTTGCTCACATCATGGGTACCTACACAGACTGGCTGCCGCAGCCCGAGCTTAGCGACTGTAGACAGAAAAAGCACATCACGTGATCACGAAAAATATGAGTAGTGACATCGGAATAAAGATAGGAAAGCAGGACAATACACTGGAGAGAAAATCCGAAATCTATCCGAAATTTTCGACCGTTTGACGACTGCATGTTGTCAAACTCAAAGTTGTCATCGGAGAAGTCACTGGCTCCCGGCGCTCCCGTGTCCTTTGCACCCATTTATGGCAGTAGGAACCAATGCTGTCGCTGCGATGTGAAAGATGAAAATGGATTGGTTCCCTTTTTGGTTGTGCGCGTGCAGATATGATTCTACATGAAACAAAGCGTATACATGTACCACACTATAATCAGAGTGTAGCAGCAGCGCATGCATGCACTGTACCGTTTTGATCTCTGTGTGTCTGTGAAAAGACAACTCAAAAATGCTGAAGCCTGATCAATCATGGATCAACTTTTTTCTTTTCAGAGAATACTGCACATCGAATTCCATTGAAATGAAGCACATTTTGGTGCCTTTTTTAGCACGGCTTTGACTTGAAAATACAAGCCGTGCTTGAAAATTTTGCCCGTGTTTTTTTCATAACTGGCCATGTTGTCATGGCCTGCACGGCTCGCTAGCTAGTACACTCTCTAGGACTGATGACTCAAAAGGTATAAGGAAAACTTTATAAAGATTTTTTACCCCTACGCCAAAGTACACGTATAACACTTTAAATCAAATGTTTCTCTTAAAGCTTGTAAAAAAATTTGCAAGCATACTCGGTTGGGACTCGAACCCACGACCTCCTGCTCACTAGCGCAGATTGTCTGAACCACTCAAACACCCTACTTGCCTGGGTCAGCTGGCTGGTCCAAGTCAGACGCAGCGGGGGTACCGAAAAGTTTGACAAGATGTATTTTCAGTCGCAGTGATTTCGAGAACAGGTTTTGCCCTTTCACTGACGTATACATATCAGGGCAAAACCCATGGTTACATGCTAAAGGCAGTTGTGAGGAGTATTTCAACACAGCCCACAATCATGGCCAAGGCTTTGGTTTCATAAGCAATTGAGAGTCTAGACCAGGGCCCAATTTCATATCACTGCTTAGCTGGAACCTGTTGTGTTTGTTGTTGAGGCATTATGCTTTTGACTACTCATCACTTAAAATATCATTACCCACTAAATTGAAAGGCGGCCTTTCAACCCTGGATGCTAAAACTTCAAAATGAATACGGATAAGTATGTAGCAACTTTTAAGATCCAACAAGAAAACTTTCCATTTTCCTACGGAATGGTGACATTTGCCTTTTATCATTTCAGACCAGAAGAGCCCT